ACAGAGGCATGTCTCTGTGTGGATATTAATTCTGAATCATAAAAAAAAAAAAAAACTATTTGACTTTAATAGAAGACAGAATGGTGTTTTAATTCTGCATAAAGCTAATCCAATAGGAAAGACTGAAAAAAGACATGATATTTATTTGAAATAAAGATCAAATCTGAAATCAAATTTCTGCCCTTTGCGCTGTAGGGTGAGTCTGGGGCCGCCCACACCTGCTATTAAGCAGACCTTCCTTCTGAAGAAGCTTTGTGAATCCTTCATACATGAGTGTGTCCATGCATACATACCACGGGACTTTGGTTCCAGGTGTTCAGAGATACACATTAATACTAAATACTAAGCTGCAGCTACAGATATATACCATCCTGATTAATATTGTGTAATCACCATTGGTTTTGACTTCGACAAACATGGATAATTAAATGATACCTGCTGTCCTTGAAGTTTTTTTAAGTTTACTTTTGTGGTCTTTTGTCTTCTTGTTGCTGTTTTGCTCTCTGATTTCTCTTCCTCTCATTTCATACAGTTTTGGAAGCAGACTTCTAGGAGTTACTGTAAGTCTTCTTTGTTTTTTCTGTTTTGTTTAATTTTCTCTCTTTTCATGCACTCTTTCCTGTCTCTATCCCTTTATCCCCTTGGTTCTTACCCCCCTCTTTCTATCTCACCTCCTTTCCTGTCTGTCACAAAATAATGTTCAGTAAAGTTTCATATACAAGTGGCAACAGTCATAAAGGTCTGCTTGTGAAAGTAAAGCTGCTAGGCTATCATCTACATCTGGGACACAAATTCTCAGTCATATTTCTAAAACAGGACACAGAAAAAGAAGAAATAAGGATCAAATTTTGGGGTTCAGAAACAGAGTTTATTGGTTAATTGCTGTGGTTTTAACAGTGACTGTAGTGCCACGCATGATCAATAGCGATACGGCCATCAACAAGCAGGAAACTGGGATCCCATAACCTTACAGAGTGCGCCGCTCCGAGTTCAGAGTTCTGAGATAAACCAAATAAAAAATNATTACTGACTGCTGTGCTGTGAGGTAGAGATGCCCCAAACTAGATAGAAATGTACATTTTTAACTACTGTAAGAAGAGAATTAACTGCAGTATCCAGGTTTCAACCCATAGAAAACACTAAAACTAAAACAGCCTTAGGTCCAATTATGTGGAAGTCATGCAAAGATTTGCACAGTACCATGCAGATAGCATTTTGAAAGCCTCATTTATTAAGTTTATCTGCAAAAATAAATGTAATTTTGCTAACCCTAACCATAACCCTTCAAATAGCTGATTCACTTTAAACCGAGTCTGAAGAGGTAATGTTTTTATTTTGTATAGACAATAAATGTTGTTTCAGACATGAAAGCTCTGGGAGGAAAAGTATTTTTTTAATTAGAGACCATGCTAGAATTGTTCAAAAGCAATGAGGCGTAATCTCACAGACTAAAATAGATTAAAACAAATAATTTATGAAAATAATGTGTTTTATTCCTCAGTTAAATAAATTAGCAAGGCTTCCGTTTGTCTTTTGTTTGGCATCAAGCATTTGAAGTCAATATTAAAAATATATAATGCACCTGAAACTGTCCTTGTTAGCCATGGCAGACCGTGAATATTTAGATCCCTATCATGGGTGGTTCTAAACAGGGGGCAGTTGGGGGCAAGTGCCCCCGTAGAAATGATCCTGTCCCCAGTTATGGCCCGTGTGCTAAAAACATAATACCAACTAAATGTCTAAATATTTTATGCACTGCAAAAGAAAGAGCAACTGATAACCTTTTTCATTTTTTTTTTCACAGTTATGATTTCAAAATAAAGGTGACAGCTTTAGTTGTAAAGGGGGTTTAAATATTATTTTCAACCAGCTTTAAAAAATAAAAAATAAAACTACTCTAATTTGTTACAGCTAAAGTGATCAGTTTTACTGAAATGTTATATTTTGGTTTGATTAAAATTAATTGTTTTTATTTAGAATAAGTCAAAAATTTGGAATGTTTTAAAATGAGTAGCTTTATTTTGTAGCTTTGGTAGCTTCATTTTGTATTTTTTCTTTACTTCAAAGACTATTAAATCATAATCATAATTTTGTAAAACTCAATACTTTTATCCAACTTTATTTATTGACTGTAGAGACACGACTGATACATCAAGACTTCTAAAGAGCTACCTTTTTAGTCCTTACTGTTAAATATGTGACATTTTTTAAATATTGCTTCCGTTTGCTGTTTCAGACATCTTACAGTCAGGAGGTCATATTACTGTCATGTTCAGCATTGAGCAGAACCCTTTTTTATTTTTTCTTAAAGTTACTTTAGTTGTATTGCATCACTGGTCACGGATATTATAAAAGGTCAGCCAATAAGGTCACATTCAGTAACAAATGGATGTGGGACATCATGCAACACTATCACCTTTTGGACGCTGATTTGATCCAAATACCTCAAATCAATAAGGAGACCTAAGCCGTCAATGGATGTCCAGACGCATTTCTAGTTTTAGGTATAGTAAAATGATTTTTTTTTTTTTTTTTCAAACCAGAAATACAAATATCCTAATCTATCAGCATACAATCTTCATTAAACTAAATGATGTGGAAGTTTCACTTCTTTCAGCTCAGAGCGAGAATTGGCACTTTGGTTCCACATCTCACTTAATAAATATTGTGAATGATAAACTATTGTTGTTATTTGTTTCCTTTCTCAAAAAAAAAAAAAA